CCCGACCCCCCTGCCCAGAGCCGCCACCCGCCCGGTACCTTAGCCACCGCCATCTCGAAGTCCTCCTGCGTGACGTGGACTCGGCGCTCCCGCAGCGCGTACATGCCAGCCTCGGTACACACGCCCTGAGCGGGGAGAGGGGGCGCGGCTGCCGCTGTGCCCTGAACCCAGTGCCTCCTGCCTCTGCCCCCTATCCCTTGGGTACTCCTGTTACCTTCACTTCAGCCCCTGATGCTCCTGGCATGAGCTCAGCAATTTTTCTCAGGTTGATCCCCCGGGTCAGGTTCATTTTCCGAGAATGGATCTTCAAAATGTCCAGCCGGGCCTAGAGATGGGAGAGGAAAAGCCTGAGCCCAGGGCCTACCCCCACAGCCGGGGCTGCTGCCAGTGCTGCTGGTTACAAACCTCCTCGTTGGGGGGTGGGAATTCAATTTTTCTGTCTATGCGCCCTGGGCGGAGCAGCGCCGAGTCTAGGATGTCAATCCTGTTAGTTGCCATGATAACCTGAGTGGACAAAGCAGGTGGCGTCAGCTGAGCCCTTCCTAGGGCAGGCTGCCCCTCACCCAGGGCCCTCCCTGGGTCCTTGCCCCAGCCGACCCCACCGTACCTTGATATTCTTGGTGGCCTCAAAGCCATCCAGCTGGTTGAGCAGCTCCAGCATGGTGCGCTGGACCTCACTGTCCCCTCCAGAGCCCCCCTCCAGCCTCGAGGAGCCAATGGAGTCAATTTCATCCATGAAGATGATAGATGGAGCGTGTTCTCGGGCCATGACAAACAGCTCCCTCACCATCCGCGCCCCTGTGCGGAGACCAAGCCGGTATCAACGAGCGAACAGGCTCCGCCCCTTCCCCTCCTTAGATTTTGTTTCTGGCCGCAGTTACCTTCCCCGATGAATTTCTGTACCAATTCAGAGCCAGAGACACGAATGAAGGTGCAGTCTGTATGATGCGCCACGGCCCGGGCCAGCAGCGTCTTCCCCGTGCCCGGGGGTCCATACAGCAGTACCCCCTAGAGAGCAAGGGTGGGGCTCAGGGAAGGAAGCTGGCCCCATGTTTCATTCAAGGAACATTAGTGTTTGCACAGTGCTAGATCCCACATTAGATACTAGAAATAAAAAAGTGAATATTTGTCACAAAGTCTCTTATGGAGCTTACACCCAAACCATTCAATGGCCTGGGAGCATCTCTTCCCCCGGCCCCGGGGTGAGCAGGACCAGTGGAAGCAAGCTCAGTCTACCAGGCTGGGGCAGGTGTACAGAGGGCAGCATGGCCCTCGCCCAGAACCCCACTCACCTTGGGCTGTGCGATGCCCAGCGCTTCAAACAGCTCGGGGTGCTTCACAGGCAGCTCAATCACTTCTTTGATCTCCTTGATCTGCTTGTCCAGTCCACCAATCATCTCGTAAGTTGAGTCTGGCACCTTCTCCACCATCATCAGTGACACCAGCGGGTCCACCTTGTTGGGCAGGATCTTGTGCAGAGTGTAGCTATCATTTCTGAGGGCCACCCGGCAATTGGGTGTCACCTGGGCAAGGGACGGAGGTTCAGGAAGTGGTGTGGTGAGAGCTGACCCCCACCTCCCACATCCCGGGCTGCACTCACGTCATTGATGTCGATGTTCTTGTCCACGTCGACGACAAACTTGCCCTCAGGATGTACCTACAGAAACAAGGGTGCATGACCATCCCCGACAGTTAGCAAATCACCAGCCTCACCCAGAAGACCCACGAGTCTTACGCTAAGGTGAGAACAACGTCCTCACGGCGCACAAAGGTACAGGAATGCAGAGGCAGGTGGGGCTGGTGCCGGGTCCCGCTGCCTTTACCTTGACTAGCACTTTTTTCTTATCCATGGCCCGGACTACTTCCCCCACGTAGGAGCCCTGTTCCTGCAGCAGCTGGAGCTCCTCCCGCAGCAGGCGAACTAGGCGGGAGGCAGACACCGTGGTCAGTCAGATTTTGATGTCCCTCCCCCGTGACTCGGTTAAACATGCGTGAACTGAACACCATTTTAAAGTTTTGAAGGGAAGGACTCAAAACGAAACTCAAGAATTCACATCTTTAAGGAGATTACAATGAAACTCAGGAGAGGTGCATGTGAACAGAGCATCACCTTGGATTGGGAAAAGCGATGGGCACTTAGGTGAAGACTCGCTTCTTTAAGGAGACTGAATACTCAGCCCTCACACCAGTTGCCTCCATGCAGCCCTCCCATCTTTCCCTCCTCACCTTTTGCATTAAGCTCATTCCTCTGTGCCTGTAGCCTCCGGAGATTTTGGCTCTTGTCATTCACAATCAGCTATTGGAGAACAAGAAGCAAAGGGTAGAAAACAGGAGGAGGTTAAAATCTTGGCTGAGATCCTCATAGGCTGATAGGAGCTGAGTGAGGAAAGCACAGGGCATTTTGCATTCCCCATTCAGATTCTCCAATATGACTTTAACCTTTACCTGCCCTCCAAGAGAGCCTCTGGAGTGGAGGACAACCACGGGGGGTGGGGTGGGGGGGAGCTGCTTGTCTGATACTGGTCTAGGAATAACAAACGCTAACGGAGACAAGGTAACAGCTGATCCACATAGTTTCTCAAGAGTGGGAACTTGGGTATTGAGGGAAGATTTCTGAGTCAGAATCCTAAGTTCCAACTATTGCTGGCAATCATCAGCTTAGTAAAGCCAATAAAAACCATGAGAAAGGTCTAAATCTGTTACCAAACTTCAAGTGGGTATAGCACCCCTATCCTGGCTCTTTTCAGGATTAACATGAGGAACAAATGAAAGCATATATTGTTGTTGTTCAGTCACTAACTTGTGTCTGACTCTTTGTGACCCCATGGACTGTAGCACACCAGACTTTCCTGTCCTTCACTATCTCCTGGAGTGTGCTCAAATTCGTGTCGACTGAGTCAGTGATGCCATCCAACCATCTCATCCTCTGTCACCTCCTTCTCCTCTTGCCCTCAGTCTTTCCCAGCATCAGGGTCTTTTCCAATGAGTTGACTCTTCACGTCGGGTCACCAAAGTATTAGAGCTTCAGCATCAGTCCTTCCAATGAATATTCAGGGTTGATTTCCTTTAGGATGGACTGGTTTGATCTCCCTGCTGTTCAAGAGACTCTCAAGAGTTTTCCCCAGCACCACAATTCAAAAGCATCGATTCTTCAGTGCTCAGCTTTCTTTATGGTTCAACTCTCACAGTACATGACTACTGGAAAAACTACAGCTTTGACTATATGGACCTCTGTCACACAGATAAAGCATTTCAAAAATGACAAACCAGACATGATACCCACGAATGTACCTGAAGTTGAGAATTTTCCCTTGTGGAGCATCTCCATGCAATGTATGTTATTTTCCTTATTTCTGTGGTCCTTGCTGCTTCTCTAGGCTAGAGCACTGGGCTGTCAGTTCCCCTTCACTCAGTCCCATGGAATCAACATTTTCCAGACTCCTCAATTCTGTCTTCTCTCACTCTGCCCCAACCTTCTCTGGTAAATGTCATTTCCTGACCCTATGTCTTCTCTTTACAAGAAACTGTCTCATTTAGGCTTCTAAAAGGAATGACTTTTGGCTGGGGGATACTTTTATGTTAAAATTTGACTCTTGAAGATGTGTAAGAAACTGTGAATATTTATTATCTTCAAAAAGGTGGGATTTGAGGGGAACACGAGTATAATTTCATATACTTCATACTATTAACTTGTTACCAATACTACTTTTTCCACTGCGCCCCCAGTGGAATTACATGGATTTGCAGAGATCCGCTCATCTCCCTTCGAGCTCCCTCTGGACCTTTGAAGTCCGTTCTCACCTGGAGTTCTTCAATCTTGGACAGATAATATTGGCGGAGTCCACTGCCTGCCTTCCCCTCTTCCAGCTCCATCTGAGGATACAGTGTAATTATTAACCAAAAAGCTAAACATCCAAGGGATAAAGCTACTTCCACGTTGATTTCGGAGATTTAAGATTTGTGCTCTGATCCCTCAATCCATCTCTTCACAACCATTTCCTTAAGACTTAAACTAAAACAGCATGAGAACGCTGCCTACCTCTTAAGACTTTCGGGAGGATCAAGAAACGGCGCACCCGGGAACGCTACACAATCCCGAGATGTTATTTGTACAGGAGCAGCCAGCAGGAAGCACGGGCCCCCCGACTCCCGCAAGGGTGGGTTCCCGCTCCTACTGCTCTCACCGCTCCTCACTAAATCGGCTTGCACCCGGTCTTCCACTCCCGGCCCTGCCGTGACCCGCCGCGGGCGGCGCTGACACAGCAGATCCGGTCCCAGGCAGGGCCCAGTCTAGACTGGCCCACCCACCCCAGACTCCCCCCACCCGCTGGCCCCGGCCGGCTGCCCACCTCGGATCGCACCTGCTTCGCATCCAGCCCCGGTCCCCGCCCGGCCGCCGCCGCCATACCTGCTCTGGTCCGTCAAGCGCCATCTTCCCTCTTCCGCGGAGACCGCCGGCATCAGAGCAGCTTTGGCGCGCAGGCGCAAAGCCGGAGCTTGGCGGGGGGGGGGGGGGGGGGGGGGCCAAAGACTCTGGCAGAGAAGAGTTCCGGGTCAATGGGCGGGATGTGAGGACGGAAGGTAACAAATAACAAGGGCCATAAAGGGGTACGCGAGGTCAGGATCTTTGGTGTAAAAGGCATAGAACTCCTAAAGTTACTCTCTAGAAATTGTTTTGGCGCCATTTTCTCCTGGTGCCGGCTTCCAACAAAACCTGGGGAAGGATTACAGAGAAAATATTTGTAGCCACGCTCTTAATGGCGGAAAACTTGGAGCCGGGACGCGAGCGACGCAAGCGGAAGCGGAAGTACGTTTGCTGCCCACATGTGCCTCTCAGAGGGTGGAGGGAACGGTGCTGGCTCCGGAGAGTGGTGTGGAGTAAGAAGCTGAGTGTCTCCGCGACGGCGAGTGGGGAACGGAAAGCGGAATCTAGTGCTCCGGGAAGAGACGTTCAAACTTCTGCTTTCTCTCCCGATTGAGTGGTGCCCCCACGTTACACCATGGGCAAAAAGGGCAAAGTCGGGAAGAGCCGGCGGGACAAATTCTATCACTTGGCGAAGGAGACCGGTGAGTCAGGGTTCGTACTGTCAGAGCAGGCGAGCCACCGACCTCGGTCGGTTCGCCCCGCTTTCCAAATATTGAGTTTCTCTTCCGCAGAAGGGGTCGGGAGGCCGCAGAAATCCCGTTGGGAAAGCGCTTTGCGGACCTTGTTAAAGTATTTTGTCGCCGCCCCCAGGTTACCGCTCCCGCTCTGCTTTCAAGCTGATCCAGCTGAATCGCCGCTTTCAATTTCTGCAAAAAGCCCGAGCATTGCTGGACCTGTGCGCTGCACCGGGTGGATGGTGGGTAACACCTGGCACCTGACGCGCCTTATGGAAACTTTCAGGGTTCCAGCCTTGGATGACTGAGAATTGCGTTGAGGGGCGGGAGGGATACAGTAATACCAGCCTCATATTTCTGTACTCCCCAGAACTGTAAACTTCAGGAGGGAAGATTTGGAATGTGTACATACGTTTGGCTGGTATTGACCAGGGTTCTTCAGTTCCATTCAGTTGCTCAGTCGTGTCTGACTCTTTGCGACCCCGTGGACTTCTGCACACCCGGCCTCCCTGTCCATCACCAACTCCTGGAGCTTGCTCAGATTCATGTCCATCGAGTTGTTGATGCCATCCAACTATCTCATCTTCTGTCATCCCCTTTTCCTGCCTTCAGTCTTTCCCAGACCAGGGTTCTTTGCCTTCCCCAGTCAATAGAAATTGATTAGAGGCCAGACAGGAAATTCAGGCAAAGCTTTATTGGGGCCCCTGCTGCAGCAGGAGGGCATGAGAACAAGTAACAAGTTCCTTTGCTTGCTAGCTCCCAGAGAGGGTGTGAGCTGATTCTTTATATGGGATGAGGGTTGTGTGTCTAGAAGCCCAGCCTTAGGAGTGGCTTAGATGGTTTGCTCACCCCTTTGGTGATGGTGAGTGCTTTTGCTCCTAGCCCTTCATAAGTGGCAGTGGATTTGTTTGGTTTTTGGTCTTTTTGTATCTTCTTGCCCCAAATTCACCCAAGCTGGGCATGCATATGGTTATTTTTAGTCACTTGTGGTTTGTTTGTATTCTACTACTTGAGGAGTTGTTTGTTCAACTGCAAACACTGCAGCAAAAGGTCCCAGGTCCCAGAGACTCCCAGCACTAGGGGCTGGGAGATCAGATTGTCGAGGGAGTGGGAGGGGTGGTATTTTAATCTGTACTTCTCCTTTATAGGCTGCAAGTGGCTGCCAAGTTTATGCCTGTATCCAGCCTTATTGTGGGTGAGTGACCGGTGGCTCTCTTAGGTGTTCCAGGGGGGTGGAGAGTGAGACACTGTGGTTCTGCATTTCCTTCCTCCCTGCTTGAGGCAGGCTTTTGGAATCCTCTGCCCTCTTTTCTTCCAGGAGTGGATCTGGTCCCAATCAAGCCTCTTCCTAATGTGGTGACACTCCAGGAGGACATCACAACAGAACGCTGTAGGCAGGTAATGGGAACCTCCCTTTTCCCGTCCTTCTAATATGTAGACATCTGCATCCCCTGAAGGCACATTTTTCTTGCTTACCATGCCCTAAGCAGTGCCCACACATTGTCTGTATGACAAGGCCTAAAAGACAGTGTGTCCATCCAGCCTTTGTTTATTCAGGAAAGAAGTCTTTGGAGTTGGAGGAAGTGCAGAGATTTCCATGAAATCCTTTCCAGCAGGTTCTCTAGTAGACTAAGCTCTATGAGGATAGATAGGTTTGCTTATCATTGTATCCCCTGTCCACGGCATAGGAATTGGCCTGTGGCGGGCACTCAGCAAATGATTGGGTGGACAGATGGCTGAACCAGTGATTCTGTTCATAGCCATGTCTGGATTTCAGTTGCAGTAATCTCTTCCTTCTCTGTAGGCCCTGAGGAAGGAGCTGAAAACCTGGAAGGTTGATGTTGTGCTCAATGATGGGGCCCCCAACGTCGGGGCTAGCTGGGCCCATGATGCTTACTCCCAAGGTGCTGGGGTTGGAGGACGTGGAGATAAGGGTGGAGGCGGGCATGCCCTCTCAGGCTGCCGAGGTCCTCACCTTACCATCTCTTTCCCATAGCCCATTTGACGTTGATGGCTCTGCGTTTGGCTTGTGACTTTCTGGGCCGTGGTGGCTGCTTCATCACAAAGGTTTTCCGTTCTCGTGACTATCAGCCCTTATTGTGGATCTTCCAGCAGCTCTTCCGCCGTGTTCAGGCCACCAAGCCCCAAGCCTCTCGTCATGAATCTGCGGAGATCTTTGTAGTCTGCCAGGGTGGGTGTAACTTCCTTTGTTCTCTTGATTCAGTCTCCTACCTAGCAAAGCACACTTGCTCACGAATCTTATTACCTTAGGTTTCCTGGCTCCTGACAAGGTTGACAGTAAATTCTTTGACCCCAAGTTTGCCTTCAAGGAAGTCGAAGTTCAGGCCAAGACTGTTACAGAATTGGTGACTAAGAAGAAGCCAAAGGTGTGTTGGGGAGTGGGGCCACTTTCAGGTCCTGGAACTTGGGGGAGGCTGGGCCTGGTGGGCCTACAGACACCCTGGAAGGGACTGACTGCTCAACCTTCGTTATCTCCCTTCTTAAGGCTGAAGGCTATGCTGAGGGCGACCTCACTCTCTATCACCGAACCTCCGTCACTGACTTCCTCCGAGCTGCCAACCCTGTTGACTTCCTCTCCAAAGCCAGTGAAGTGAGTTCCCAGACTCGAGGGCTGTGGGGGAGCCCCAGAAACAGGGCCTGAGCATCTCCTCACTCCTCTCCCCGCCAAACAGATCTCACTAGATGACAATGAGCTGGCACAGCATCCAGCCACCACCGAGGACATACGGGTATGCTGTCAGGACATCAAAGTGCTGGGGCGCAAGGAGCTCAGGTTTGCGCTGGGGGTGGGCAGAAGTTCTGGGAGCCCCGAGGGCGGTGGGGAGGCCTGGGAGGGACATGACGCTGGATCTCAGGGAACAGGATGCTGCTGTGCTGGAGGTCCGGGGTGGGGGCCTGAGTCCTCGGACTTACGTGGCTCACACTTGAGGTTTGGGATATGGGCCTAAACCAGGAGGAGGTTGATGGAGGCTGACAGACGGAGATAGTAGGGTCAGGAATGGTATTTCTGGGGCAGGTCCCTACTGAACTGGAGGACGAAGCTTCGGCGATACATGGCCAAGAAGCTGAAAGAGCAAGCAAAGGCACTGGACATCAGGTGAGGAGGGAGCCAAGCCAGGGCAGGCGCTGAGCGGGTGTCGGCGGGAGGCGTCCGTGGAGATAACCAGCTCCTGGGACACTTGTTTCAGCCTCAGCTCAGGGGAGGAAGAGGAAGGAGAGGAGGAGGAGTCCACAGCGGGGACTGGGCCGCAGCCGTCTCAGGAGGAGGAGGAGGAGGAACAGCTGAACCGCACCCTGGCGGAGATGAAGGCCCAGGAGGTGGCGGAATTAAAGAGGTGAGGGGAGCTGGGGACCACCACGGCCGAGTCCCTCAGTGGGGGAGTGGGAAGGCCTGGCTAGGGAATCTCCAGAGCTCCTCAACCCGGCCCCTCAGGAAGAAGAAGAAACTGCTGCGTGAGCAGAGGAAGCAGCGGGAGCGTGTGGAGCTGAAGATGGATCTTCCCGGGGTTTCCATCGCAGACGAGGGGGAGACTGGCATGTTCTCCCTGCGCACCATCCGGGGTCACCAGGTGAGGTGGGGTGGGGCCCACGCTGGAGACGGGAGGACCTGCGTGGGCATTCGGAGGTGGGGGCCCGGAGGCCTTTGGTTCAGTACGCTGAATGATCTTGCTCCTGGTTGCTGTCCTCGCCCATGAATGACTTGGTGAGGGGAGGCTGGGAAAAACAAGAGCCTTATATTTCAAAGACCAGGAGGGAACGTACACCTAAAATAATGGCAGAGTAGGAAGCTTTGTGAGTGTGATGTAGATTTGTTTATCTTTGTAGAAATAGAGCATCAGAACCACAAGGCTTTCGCTGCCAGATTAGGTGACAGGCGGTGCAGCCAGGGTGCCTGGGTTACCAGCGCATATGTTGGGGGTTCCCCTCGGGGAGGCGGGGCAGTGTTGTTCAGTTCACTGAGACCAAGTTAGCACCTGTCTACTCTAGGCTGTTGGACGGTGCCTTCTGCTGAATGCTAGAGACTCGGCTTTTCCTGGTAAAAGCAGCATCACAAATAAAATGAGCTTCTGTGGCTCTTCTGTGTAAAGGTAACAGCTGGGTCAGATCGTACAGGAGCCAGAGAGCACAGTGGTCCTGGAGCGGACCACCACTTTCGCATCCTTTGCCTGTCTCCTCATCTGTAAAAGATATTAACAGAAACCACCTACTAGGGTGTTAGGAAGGAATAAACAAAGATGGTTAGGTGTGATTCCTGGTGTGTAATTCAGGAAATAGTAGCTGTCTTTGCCATGAGAACAGATTTTGGAGTTGACAAGTGATTTATAAGTGAAACAATTCTTCCTGTTAGATGTATGTTGCTGGGCTCCTTTATTCAATGGAAACAACAGTTGTAGATATTCTCCAGTGATAAGGTGCTTTCTGAGTAATTTGAAAACCAGTGATTTTAAAACATTTTAAAATTTGACACCAGTTAGGCCAAGGGGTGCTTTTCCATAAACCTATTCCTTCCACTAATTGAAGAAGAGAATGCTGAGTGACGTGGCCTAGGGTGGGGTGTTTTAAACAGTTAACCCCATCACTTCCCTGTCTATAAAAGGAGGTAATGTACTTGCCAGTGTTTTTTCTGATGTTGCTGAGAATAAGCTAAGATGACGAACAGGGAGGAATACAGCAGTATGTGCCTTGTCGGTGCCCTTGACCTCTGTTTCTGTCGCCCTTCAGTTGTTAGAGGAGGTAACACAGGGGGACATGAGTGCTGCAGACACATTTTTGTCTGACCTGCCGAGAGATGACATCTACATATCAGATGGTGAGGACGACGACGATGCATCTCTAGACAGTGACCTGGATCCAGAGGAGCTGGCAGGAGTCAAAGAACCTCAGAGTCTAAAGGACCAAAAGTGGTAAGGAGTGTGTGTGTGTGTGTCGGGAGGGGGGGTGTCTGGGGAGGTGTCTATAGGGCACCCTCAGCTCAAGTTCCCCGTGGGAGTTGGGGGCAGCAAGCCCTCCAGAGCACTGATCCACCCACTTACCTTGGGGCTACAGTGTACGATTTGCTGAAGTGGAAGATGATAAAGAGGAGGAAGAAGAGAATCCACTGTTGGTACCATTAGAGGAAAAGGCGGTGCTGCAGGAAGAACAGGCCAGCCTGTGGTTCTCCAAGGTAAGCAGAGGCTGGGGGCCGAGACACACCAGGGCTGGCGTTCCCCGGGAGAGGGGTGCCTGACGATTCCCCCATCGCAGGACGGCTTCAGCGGGATTGAGGACGATGCCGACGAGGCCCTGGAGATCAGTCAGGCCCAGCTGCTGTATGAGAGCCGTCGCAAGGGGCAGCGGCCGCCACCACCGCCTTCCAATGAGGAGACGGAAAGCAAGCCTCCCCCGTGCCAGGGTGAGGCCCCTAAGGGGGCGGGGGCTCCTAAGGGGTCAGAGGTCGCCCCTGGGCCTGGAGAGGAAGAGAGCGACGGCGACGGCGGCTCCGACAGCGACGACAGCAGCGAGGACGAGGAGAGGTGAGTGGTGGCGGCTGACGGAAGGGCTCACGGGGCAGCAGTGGTTCTGCCCCATCCTCTGTAAGCTGGGTTGGAGATGGAGAAATGCAGATGGTTCTGGTTTAAGTGGTCTGCAGTACGGCCTGAGGGGCAAGGTTTCTGGAAGTTCCCCAGGCAGTTTTCACTAAGAACTAGGGTTGGGTCTGGGTGGCGTGGGTTACAGTGGGACATGGGTGCACATCCTTCCCCTCTTCCACAGCTGGAAATCACAGCGCGGGAAGAAGCGCGGCCGCGGGTCTAGGTCAGAGGACGACGGTGGGTTTGAGGTGGTGCCTATCGAGGACCCAGGTGAGAGCTCTGCACCCAGTGGGAGGGAACACCACCTGGAGGTGTGGGTGTCGGGGGCAGAGCTGTGACTTGACTCCCTCCCTAGTGAAACATCGGATCCTGGACCCTGAAGGCCTTGCTCTAGGTGCAGTTATTGCCTCTTCCAAAAAAGCCAAGAGGGACCTTATAGATGACTCCTTCAGCCGGTGAGGGGCCAGGAAGTCATGAGAATCGACCTGGGTAGGGGGTGGGAGGGATGGTTTCTGTGAAAGCCTGATCTGGTGTTCTCTCCACCTAGGTACACGTTCAATGAGGATGAGGGGGAGCTTCCAGACTGGTTTGTGCAGGAGGAAAAGCAGCACAGGATACGACAGTTGCCTGTCGATAAGAAGGAGGTGGAACACTACCGGAAACGCTGGCGGGAAATCAATGCGCGGCCCATCAAGAAAGTGGCCGAGGCCAAGGCCAGAAAGAAGCGGAGGGTAAGCATGGGGCTGCCTGTGACGCTGGTGGGCTGGGCAGGGGTAGGAGAAGAGGATGGCCTGACTGTGAGGCCCCCCGACAGATGCTCAAGAAGCTGGAGCAGACTAAGAAGAAGGCAGAATCTGTGGTTAACACGGTGGACATCTCTGAACGGGAGAAAGTGGCACAGCTTCGAAGGTGAGGGGCCGGGGGTCACCCACAAAGGTACACGGAATCAGGGAGCAGCAGGAAGCCTCTAACCTGTGTCTTCCGCTTACAGTCTCTACAAGAAAGCCGGGCTTGGAAAAGAGAAACGCCAGGTCACCTACGTTGTAGCCAAAAAAGGTGTGGGGCGCAAAGTGCGCCGGCCAGCTGGGGTCAGAGGTCACTTCAAGGTGGTGGATTCGAGAATGAAAAAGGACCAGAGAGCACAGCAGAGGAAGGAGCAGAAGAAAAAGCACAAGAGGAAGTGAGCAGGGCCACCCTCTGAGGGACTGTGTGGATGAGGAGGGATTCAGTGCCCCTTCTGACCTCCTTGGTGCCAGCCCTGCCCTTGCCTGCCTCAGCCTTTGAAAAGACAGGTTCCAGCTACCTGCACTCTTGTGGTCCTGGGCAGTGAGGGGGGCAACATACTGACTGGAAGAAAAGGGCTCCCATCAAAGCCCTGCTAAACATGCCCTGTCGGTGCCATCAGAGCCCACAACCCTTCTGTGAAGGACGTGGGGCGCCGGGCGAGAAGTCTCACCACTTGTACATCACCTTTAAGGGGAGTTCCCTACCACAGCGGCAGTCACTGCAGTCTGTGCCTGGGCACTCTCAAGTCTTCCCCCATTATCATCTGAATAAAAGCAGAAGCACAGATGTCTTTTCTGACCGTTCAGCTCCTGGGAACTTGATAGCTCCAAAACACCTGGGTGTTCACACCCTGTGCACTGTTCTAAATCGTATTTGTATATTCCAACTCACGGTGAAGGAGAAATGACAAGCAATCCACAGGTCCCAGTAGTAAAACATTTACTAGAGCAAGCAGAAAGGAATGCACATCTTAAAGAAACCTTCACAAAGTCACAAAATTTGAAGTATGTATATTTCTTTTCCTTTTATAAACAAGATAAAACAAAAATCATCAAAATCATTTCAGCAAAAGATTTTTCTACCATTGTGGCAAGTTAAAAAAAATACAATGAAATAGAAGACACTTTAAAAGCTGTTGTTGGGTTTTTGTTTTTTTCATTTTAAATTTAGCAACAGTTTAGGCCCAGAGCAGTCCTGTTTCCAGGATCGTCTTTCCCCTCAGCTGCAGGGACTCTGGGTCTGGCAGGCTGCTGCTTCCTGTCTCAGGGCTGGACACAAACCTGGCTGGGAAACCTGAGCATCAACTCAGGTAGAATCAGGCCCCTCTGCGCCCCCCACCTCCCCTGCAGAGGCTTGGAAGTGCTTCAGTGCACATCCCCAACACCTCCAAGGACTGATCTGCACAATCAATCCAGCCTCAAATGAGGACTGCCTGGCCACAGAAAAATTTGTAGGTGTTTTTAAGGTGACATTTTAGTAAAAAATATGCACTACATACAATATAAACCTAGAGTGAGTTTTGTGCCCTGTAAGGCCCCTTCTCCCAAGGTATCCTCAGCTGACCCTCGTGACACTCACCCAGAGCCAAAAGAAGCTGCCGACTCTGGCTGCTTCTAAGACGAAAGCAGCTTCCCAAGAAAATACCTGAAACGTTCCCTAGGTGAATGGGTCACGTCTCCAAACTCCAGCTGTCCACTAAGGGCCCAGGGTCCTTATACCTTGGGCCCCAACCCAGCCCTGAGACACCTAGTTACCAAATCTAAAAATAAAATTAAAGACAACTGATTTCACGCTTCAGCACATACCCTCTAACTGTCCCATCGACTTTTCTTGCGCTTGGGTGGCTCAGGGACAGCGAAACCATCAGGAGTCTTATCTGTCTTGCTGTCCATCTTGTCCACCTTGGGGCTGTCCACCTTGGGGTCCATCTTGCTTTCACGATTACAACTTTCCTTCCTGCTTTCACCATTCCGACCGTCACTGGCACCCCGGCTCTCCCCGTGTCGGCCTCCGCCCCCTCCATGCCTGTTTTCTCCGTGAGGATGACCATCAGCGTGACGGCGGCTGTCAGTGTGACGGCTGCTGCTCTCTGGGTAGCGGTATCCATCTCCATGGCGACCCCCATCTCCATGGCGACCCCCATCTCCATGACGTGGACTATCACCATGCCGATTGCCACTCTCTCCATGACTGTGACGACTTCCACCCCGGTTCTCAGTATATCGCTCTCTTTTCCCATTGCCACCCCCAGTCCCTTCTCGGCTGTTACTCCCTGAAGCTGTGTTGTTGACGCCCGGAGCTGCGGCAGAAGGGTAGGTCACCGGGGCACTGCTGAGGTTCCCAGTACTGCCAAAGCCTGGGATACTCTTCGTGGCGCTGGCAATGGGGCTGTCAGGACTGCTGTGGCCCTGCTGGGCTGAATTAGTTGGAACTGAATTCAAGCTCCCTGCACTAGTCCATCCGCTCGCCCCAGCCGCAGAGCTTCCAGCCTTCTGGTTGCTTAAACTGGCAGCAACAAAGTGACTCTTGTACTGTGACTAAGAGAGAGACAACAGCAGTGGGTGAGACAGAAAGTGTAAGAAACCTAATGGCCCAGCTAGCTAACTGGAGGTACAGAAGGATGAGGAGCAGTTCAGGGCACAAGAGGCACAAAACCAAACTTGTCTTAGATAACGCAACGGCAAGCACTCAACCAGGTTACAAGAGCCCTGGCGCCCTGACAGTTGGTAGAGCAGGGAGGGAACACTGACACTGCTGTAAGACGAGGGCCCCGAGTGTGCCTGAAGGAGACGCCCAGCAACAGGGGTTTGTCCAGCCTCTATACCTGCAGCTCTAGGTAAGCTGCAGTTAAGCCGATATTCAGAACTGAAAATGGGGGAAGGCCCTCGGGAAATCCAGCACCTAGTGTACAAGGCCAGCTACCATCTCAGGAAGATCAGTGCCCCTCACCACTGCCCCAAGTGCTTGATTTCACACCTGGAAAGCCGCTTTCATTGCCGTCAGCCGGTCTCCCATGGCTCCCGTGGAGGGCTTGTAGGCCTCATAATTGCTCATTACATTGTTGTTACTTCCTCGGTCCTAAAAAATACTCATGAGAAAGGAAGAGTAAGCAGGAAAGCCCACTGCTACAGAAGGGCCTCAATATGCTAGAAACAAGAGGGAGCTGAAATAGGTGTGGGATTTTTTTTATGCCTTTCAACCCATTAAATCTATTTCTGAGAACCCACCCTGACAATCAGAAATGAGGTCAGATTTTGCCCAAAGCTGATCACCTGGTATTATTTATAGGCATAAACATTACGTTTATGTAACTGTGTAAAAATTATGTTAAAGCTGAAAAGGCCACAAGGCAGTGCAGCACACACATAACTGCTCAGGCTCTACATCCAAACCCTGAAGAGTCTGAACCTCAGCTTCTACGCTTCCCACAGTGTAACCTTGGGTGCCTCAGTCTATCAGCTGTATTTACTCAGAGTGACTGTGAAGCCTGAGTTAACGTGTGTGGCTGCTTGAACTGGCTGGGCACATCCTAAGTGCTCGGTATTACCACTATCACCTGCATGATCCATAGCAGCAGCATCACTGTAATGCGGGGACAGGCTACTTCACCAAGACACCAAGTTACCCACGGTGATCCAGACACGCAGACTGACAGCTTTCTTCCTTGGCTTAAGAATCAAGTGACAAAGTTAAGAAAGCCAGGCAGGGGGAGCTTTTGTTACTTGGTTTGCGAGAAAAGCTAGCTCTTGTATCTGAACCAATTTCCCAGAGAGTGTAGTATTGTTTGTGAGTTTAGTTACAAGATACAGCTGAATTATAGAGGGATCCTCTGGCTCAAGGCCAAGGCTGGATGGTGTGTAGAAAGACCGCTAGGCCCCACCTCCAGAGTCTGATTCAGCAGGTCTAGGGTGGGCCATGAGACTGCATTTTCTGCAAGTCCAGGGACCACACTTTGAGAACCAGTGCTAATCTACACTGATTTCCTGAGCACACCTAGTCAGTCAAGGACACACAGTATCTTCTTTAATATAAAGTCACATTAAGAACCAGTGCTGTACTGACTCAAGTCAGCAGATGACAGCGTTTTGAACTCACTGAGACTCAGGTAAATGAGAACAGTCCTAACGTCATGAAAGACGCAGGAGCAGTCAAGGACACTGCTAAGAGTCTGGACTCACCGAGTTCTCAGAGCCAAGGCCAGGCCGCTCCCGGTAGCCCAGGCCTCCTCCACCAATGTTCAGCTTTTTCCCCTTCCCTCCTTTGAAGCGGGATTTCCGAAACCAGGCATTCTGCAGCAAACACAATTCAAGGTTAAGTCACGGGAGGAAGACGCACCCAGAGGAAGAGAACAAAGTCAAAGAGGAAACTAAACGGGAGAGAGAAACTTTAGCCAATGTATCTACAGCAAAGGAGGAACTGTTCACAGGAACCACAGATTAGCTTCTTTTTGGTAGCTTAATCTATCAGATTTGTCAGGAGCCTTTAGCTAAGGCTTCCTTTTACTGCTCCTTTCTTCCTTCAGAGCTTCCAGGAAGGGAAATGATTACAATACACCTCAAATGCAGAGCAGTTCCTCTGGCCATTCCTAACTACCTTGTGGAAAATGAATTTATTTTCTATTTCTCAGACAATCTATACGTAAAATCTCTGGGGGAGCTTAGAGCTTTATCTGACTATCACAAGTTAAAGTCAAAAGTACTTGAAAGGTGGCAAGGTGCTGATCAGAGAAGCTGATCAATCTTGAGAGCAAAGGAAGCCTGAAGCACAAGGAGATGTAGGAAAATGCCAAAAACAAAATATATCTGGTTCAAAAACTTAGTTTAGGATTGGCTCCCCAGGAGAGGGAAAGGTGGCAAGGTGCTGATCAGAGAAGGTTATCAGTCTGACAACACAGGAAGCCTGAAACACAATGAAATGCAGGAAAACACCAAAGACAAAATATATCTGGTTCAAAAACAGTTCAGCACTGGCTCTCCAGGAGGGAAGGAAACATCACTCTACTCTCCCCTGAAATGCTGATCCTTTACTCCCAGGGCGGGAAGCATGGGCAGTAGTGCCACAGTACAACTGCATTATGGGTGAACAGCTCTGTAGGCTGACCTATGAATCTGAAAAACACAGAAGTCTCTACTATCAGAACATGTATCCCAAATATACTGGCAATTTGGGAACATGTGTATCAAGATGACTCAAGATTTAATTCAGTAGAATGCCTCACTCAGTTTTGGATCAACAACCAGGGTAGTCAAAGGTCTGAGAAGTACTGAAATGCTTTTTTAAAAAAGACATCATACATTTTTAGCCCCCAATAGAAAAAACTGGGGTTAAGGGCAGTAAGGGGAATAGTAACTTTGACAGTAAAATAGCTCACAAGTGTGATATGTGGCAAGAAGGAAGAAATTTGAGGGATAGATTTTAGCACAAGAAAGGAATAGCTTTTCAACATGTATGTTGCTGAGAGAATGAGAAGGCAAATCAGATGAGTTTTAATGTCCTACAATACCAGTCTATACTTTGTAAGTGCTGCCTACCCAACTTTATTGTCATGTTTCTATGTTACCTGCCTCTGGCATACTGAAGTTTTTTCACTGAAGTGTGTCCAGTCACTCACCTGCATGGCCAAATCTAGGAGCTCCTTGGAAACATGCTGATTGGCTCCTTCCAAGTTCCGAACAAGGTCACCAGCAAAATTGCTGTCCTTGGGTGTCAGCAAGGTATAGGCCACGCCCTTCTCACCGGCTCGACCTGTGCGGCCAATCCTATGAGTATGGGTGTCAATATCTCGTGCCACATCATAGTTAATGACAGTCTTAATTGAAGGAATGTCCAGACCACGGGCTGAAATAAAAAAACAAATTCTTTTATTCTTTATCAGAAGTCAAAACACCAAAGTCACCCAAAATGCTTACCTCCTAAGAAGCTATACTCCTCTTATCTAAGCAAAGCACATGGTTTGATGTGCTGAGATATAAGTATGTGAGCCACCCTTCTAAAAGGAACGCTACTATTATAGATTCTACAACGCTAGGTAAACTTAGTGTGTAGAGACATCTATCTTCTACTACCAGTAACCTGCCATGGCCTCTCTCTTGACCAGAAATATGTTGGAAAAAAAAAAAATTCACAACCAACATCACATGTGTCTTGAGGCTGAGAAGTGATCACCTTTCTGGGAGAAAATACCAAGCTTTTAAGTGTAGCTATTAAAACTCATCAGAACAAACTCAAAAATCACACTTCAAAATTTTTTCCTGATCTTGAGTGAAATATGTCAAACTACATAATCAAACTAAGATATCTACTATATTCAGGGACACAGCCTACGATGTAACTGTGTTAACAGTTTTATCCTCAATGTCTTCCAATTGCAGGAATTCTTTTTTTTTCAGAGAGGAATATTAAGTGGGAAGTGGTACTCAGAGCTCCAGACTGTGATCACCATGCTCTGAACTGCTGCCTCATGGGGCATGGACAGCCAGGCCAGCAGAGTGCCTTCAACTGGCCTCTTCAGATATTACAGGTCTACACAGCCAGATGGAGCAACCCATACAACATAGGAACCAAGGGTTGCTGGGGAAATGCATACCCTACCTGCAACGTCTGTGGCCACTAGGACGGGGATGTCCTTTTTCTTAAAGTCTGAAATAACCTTGTTTCTTTCGCTCTGATCCATGTCACCATGGAGCAGGCCAAGATTATGACCCTCCTGCTTAAGGTTACTGGCCAGCTCTTCAGCGTTGGCTTTCTTAGTAACAAACAGGAGGACACTCCCTGAAGAGGTAAACTCCACTAGACGCCGGGTGAGCCAGTTCCATTTACTAGGTCCAGAATGGAGAATCTCCACAATCTGAGTCACATCTTCATTTGCCTGAAAAGAAATGAAAAAGATGACGGCAATATCTGTGCCACAGGGCACCTGAGTAAGAACCTGACACCACACTTTCCACCTGTGTCTAGAAGAACCATGAATGATCCCCCGTATCCTTGGGCTTTCCTTCAGCAAGTCAAGTGCAACTCAAATTTTACTTCCTTTCTCAAATCACAGTGTTCTCCACCTCCCCTGATGTGTGTGTATGCATGCATGCTCAGTTGTGTCTGACTTTGCGACGCCATGGACTGTAGTCCACCAGGCTCCTCTGTCCTTGGGATTTCCCAGGCAAGAATACTGCAGTGGGTTATCATTTCCTTCTCCAAGGGATCTTCCCAACCGCGGACTGAACCCGCGTCTCCTGCCATCTCCTGCATTGGCAAGCGCGTTTCTTTGCCACTGTGCCGCCTAGGAAGCCCTCCGCTGACATGTGCGCATATACCTAAATAATCTCTAAGCCCCAATGCTCTGCAATACTTTTCTACATGCCTATCCAGATTATTCCCAGTAGAGTAAGAGCTCCTAGTACAATTCATACCCACATATAGAAGGCACTCAGCAATCAAAGGTGGACAATGTTTAAAAACTAACTGCAGAGAACTTTACTGGCATACTAAGCATATTAAGGAATTCTCAAGGCTGCCTTAATCACATGGAAATTGTGATTTCCTAATCACAATTCAGATATATTTTCCACATAGGGCATATGTACAGGCGAGGAAAACAAAAGCTTAATTCAACAGGCCTTTCAAATCTCTCCACTCCACACTGTGCGGGCCACCTCACACAATGACTGAAGATGTTACTTCCAGGCAAACCGACCAGCATCTTTCAGACAAGACTTGCTCTTTTTTTCCCAAAAATAAATTTTTTTAAAAGAAACATTTTATTGTGGAAAAAATTTTAACATTCAAAATGAATAAAATGAACAAAATCAACTCCCATGTAACCATCACCAGACTTCAACATTTTGCCAAACGTATTTCACCTATTGCCCCAACCCTTGTGCTTTTAAAGCAAATTTGAAACATGTTGCCTCATCTGTAAGTGCGGTAATGTTATTTCTCTCAATAGTGAGAAATGAAATCCATGTCACCAGTGTGAAAAATAGCCCACCGAGACTCCGTCTGCCCTGCTCAGGCTTACCTCGCCAATATCTCCCTGTACCACACGAATGGGGTCAATCAGGATGTCTCTGGCCAGCTTTTCAATCTTTTTCCGAAAAGTTGCACTGAATAAGAGAGCTAAAAGGTAAACTATGTTAAAGAAACAGTATCACTTCTGTTTTGAATACCCACTAAGCTTCCTACCGACATTCACTGCTCAGTTTTTAAAAAACGAAAGCCCACTGAAGTTTAAAAATTAATTCACTAAGGAAAAAAAAGTACCATCATTTTACTCATTTTCATTTAAGGCAGATGTTGCTGTCAGTATGGTTCAGAAAAAGGCTCTTGACTTCAAGTCAGCAGATCTGCACTGTGTATTGCCTCTAGCCAGTGATAAAACGTTATGAACTGTGACACGTCATTTAATTCTCAGTCTTGGTACTATCATTGTAAAAATGAATGAGTTCTATCTGGTGATCTCTAAGGTCCTGTCTAGCTCAGATAAACTGTCATTATCTTCCCCTTTATGGTTCCTCACCATTACAAACATGATTATTTTTACTACCATAACTGTGAGTTATAAAATAAATAGGTGTTTATTCTGAGTACAAATGTAGCTTAAGGAAACTGCTTCATACGTACTCTGTCTGTCAGGACGGACATGACTTGCTATGGACCGCACCTGGTACTCTGGAAGAAACAGAAGAATAAAATCAGTAGTATAACTCTGCATGACAGTTTGGGATACTTGGAAAATCATTTTATTAATAGCAAAAATCTTTCTATAAAGACATTGTAAGAATTAAGGAAGTTCTGGAACTCCCAGACCTGTCACTCAGCGTGAAACTCAGAAACACTTAGCCCAACACCTAGCTGGGTTAGGCTCAGTGGTGTTCCAATCAACAGACAGTTATTCAGAATTTTCACACAACTGGTTGAGTCAAGGAGGACAGGAACACAAAGGCCTTGAAGGATATGATATGACACCTACCTCCCAAATAACACAGACCTTCACCTCCACAATCAAAGGCAGATGAATAAAAAAGAGCCTAGAATATTCTCCCTATATTCACAGGCACTTTCAAGCGTCCTCAACCCAGTTAAGCCTAACATACTTTTCCTGAAAGAACTCCTAAAAATAGCTAAAGTCTTAGCTCTATCTCTACGGGTCCAACCCTACCCAGGAGTATTTTTAGCTTCTCACATAGAGAAAAAATTAAGTCTTGAAAGACATGGAAAAAACTAGTGTCACTGAGATAGACAGAAGAATCTGATATTCAAAGCATACCAAATCCCATGTCAAACATTCGATCTGCTTCATCAAACACAAGGTAGGAGACTCTCTGAAGGTTGGTAGCTTTCTTCTTCACGTGATCAATCAGTCGACCCTATGAGAGCCAGAAAATGAACAGTAAGTCAAGCCATCCCAGTATCTGCTGGACACTGGTTCCAGGTTCATCCCCCATGAGGAAGCTCAAGTCCCTTAAACAAAATTAAGCAGTATTTGTACACAGAACCTATGCACACCCTCCTGTATATTTTAAACCATCTCTATATTACTTATAACACACAATATAAATGTTACATAAACAGTTGCTAACATACTGAAAATTCAAGTTTGCTTTCTTGACTTTTTTCCCCCTGAATATTTTCAATCCTTGGTTGGTGGATCCCACAGGGAAACCTGCCAATGTTGAGGGCTGTTTAATTAAATGTATTTACAAGAATTTTCTAGAGTTCTGCTCCTGGCAAAAATGATAATACTCTAGTTTCAGACTGCAATATGCACTAGTCTAAAAGCCTTGGATTTTATGCACTACAGCACTCAAAAGAACAGAAAATCTGAAAACTCACTGGGTTCCTCCTTTACATTAATTGTGATTTTAAACTGTAGAAAGATGGTGAGAACTATTTTTTGTGAGGCTTTCTGAAATGACCAAAGTTAAAGCCTTACTGACGGGTCTTAATGTTTAAACTACAATCTTCGAGGCAGTTTTGATCATACTCTGAACTTAGGCTCTTCATAAGCATGGACCCATTTTCCATGACAGTGTTAAGAAAAACTGATGCAGACAGAAATTTGTAGCATATAAAGAATCTTACTAGACTGCTATTTTAGTCTAGCAACCAAAATTAAACCAAAGCCACAAGCTATCACTGCTTCAGAGTATTCTCAACCCTGCTCCACCACATTTCAGGGGAAATGCCCTCCAACAACTGACATTTTTTCCATACCAAGAAAGGCTGATAAGCTATTTAAACCCAAGACATACTTACTGGTGTACAAACAACAATCTCTGCCCCTTCCTGAAGGGCCTTGGCCTGTTCCCACATGCTCCCTCCTCCATACACAGCCACTGATCGAAGATTGTATGCTTTCCCAAACCGCTTACATTCTGCATGGATCTACAAAGGTAACATAATGACAAATGAACAAATACCTCTGTGACACTAACCTCTGCCACAGTCCAAAAAGGAGTTATGAAAAACACACAAAATGTGATGTCAATAGAAAATCAAAAGCTAGAAAATACAAACACAATTTTATTTCATAAAGAAAATGAACAGGGTACCATTATCACATCTTAACAGGCTATCTAAAATCTTGTTGTGATTATTCTTTTTCACTTCTCTTCCTGACCCTGTTATTGCCTTTCACCGAACAAAATGAAGTAACCTAGGAGGAAAACACTGGGAGCTTACAATACAATTCCCAAATCAATTGGTTATATAGAAAATACATAACATGCAATATTTTCCAGAAGTTTCCTGAGTACAACAATGTGAATCTACTTAATGTCACTGAACTGTACACTTAGAAATGGTTAAAATAATAAATTTTGTGTATTTCACACAATTATTAAAAAAAAAAAGTTTCCTGGTGATTCTACCCAGTTGATTAGTCCTCATTAGTTGATATATGGAAGGGGGCACTCTACATAAAGCACATACCTGCTGGCAGAGCTCCCTAGTGGGACACACAATCACTGCAATTGGTCCATCACCTGGTTCCAGTTCTTTCTGGTCCATTATATGAATCAACATGGGCCAGATAAAGGCTGCAGTTTTCCCACTGCCTGTTTTGGCAATACCAATCATGTCTCTACCACTTAATGCCACAGGTACACCCTAGAGGAAAAAGAGAAGTAATATCCACTCTCAACTTTCAATTTTAAAGATGAACTGAAGGCAACTCTGAGAAGGGACAGATGACTAACAATGACATTTATTTTCAATGGGACAAAAATGTCCTAGGCTATGCACATTGGTTATGTAATAACAAGAAATACCTGGGGGAAAAAAAAGAATGAAACATCTAGATTCCCATAAACTTCATTTGTAGGAAACATTATCATTGAAAAAATTTAAAAAAAATTTGTCCCCCCTCACCATGAAGGTATAGAATGTCTTATCCACATACTGAACTGTGTGGAGCAGAATAAAATCCATTTATAAATGGGAAACAGAAGCTATCACTTTCAGTTATAAATGAGAAGTTTCAGGCCATGGACAAAGGAATCCTCTTAATTGACAGTGCTAAATTTCTCCACACACAAACCTTTGTTTAGTTTAGGCTTAATGAACAGTTTTCTTCAGATCATGTTTTCAAGACATTCATCAGAAACAAAAGGACACTTAGTCCTTTAGCCACTTTTAAAAATAGGTAAGAAGTAGATTTATTAACACAGCACACTAGCGAAAGAGACAGTGGTCAGATAACAGGGCTCTGCCCCAACAGAGTGGGCTGCATTTTTATAATCAAAGAAAAGTGATGAAGGGGAGAAGACCATCTCATGTCCTAGGTCTCAGCTGAGCTCCTAAGACAGGTCACCAAGTGAGGGCCCTTGGCTTTTGCACAGAGAAGAATTCAAAAGTGAGCCATGGTGAAGTGAAAGCAGTTTATTTAGAGAGATTCACATTCCACGGACAGAATGTGGTCCATCTCAGAAGGTGATAGCAGTCAATACCTTAAGACTGGTAAAATATTCACTTCTGCTCTTTTTTTTTTTTTTAATTTTTAAAGGCTTCAAAAGTTCTATCCATGTCAATACAGTTCTGTATTAAAGTGTTTTATTGTTTCGTCAGTTTAAAAAAAAAAGATCACAATGTCATTCTACTTCATTTTTCTTTCATTATATTTACTTCAGTTATGTCCAACTCTTTGCGACCTATATTTACTTACCTGGCACTGTATTGGAGTGGGCTGTGTGTACTCAGATTTCCGAATCTGGTGCATAAGTTGTTCATCAAACCCAAAATGAGCAAAACTACTTCCTGGTCTAGGAGGTGCAGCACCAGAAACCTAGAGATAAAGATGACTTGCAAGAATGACTTGTACTTCAAAATAAATAGCACTAGAAGGTCAACAATATTTACCTGTAGCTCTCCAGTGTTTAGTTGGAATATGAAGAGTGAAAACCTAAGTCTATACCTAATAGCTTACAATGTGTGAAAAGGTAAAATTCAAATAATAATGGACCTAAATCTCACACTGAAAAAACTCCAAAATAAATATTTCTGAAATAATGGTCACATTATTTTAAATGATTACGGGCCTTGAAATCTCTTCAATCACAATTAATTTTCTCATAAAAAAATTTTTAAAAGTCATGTTCAAAAAAATGGAAAAAGTCAATATATTTTTTTCCATGTGTATAACTATTAACCAAGTGGTAGAAAAAATAAAATTTACTCTTGAAATAGAGTGCAAATGAGCTCCAAATTCAGACAAACCCATAACCCACTGGTTATAAAGCTATTATCTACTGTCTCCAATCTCAGTCATGCCTGAAGAGCCTGCTTAGTGCTGATGCAGACACTGCCAAACGTCCGACTGTCTGAACTGACCCAGGTGAGGAATGGGCCTCCTCCTGCATGCTGACTCCAACAGTGCTAAGCTTTCAAGGCTTCTGGGGTGATGCTGATATTTCCAATCAGCGTTTCACTTAAAAGTTTTTTAAAGGGGTACTTCTTAGAAAACAGACAAGTATGTACACACACACACACACACACACAACCACTCAACCACCGACCCCTCACAAAACAAGTTCGAACATCACGTAGCAATTGGCACGGCCAGAAAGCTGTCCACACCAGAGCAGACATCATTTTACTACCCGTGTGTTTCACTTAACGTCCAGCAGCACCTTAAACAAATGTGGCTGGTGTACAACCAAAGCTTTTTAGTGGACAGTTTAAAACTATTATTCTGATATTAGTGCATGCATATTTCGTGAAGTTGTTAATTTCTTCATCTGATTAAAAAACCGTGCTGTATATAATGTGAAAAGCAAGTGCATCTTAATCCTGAAATATTTAAGACTTCCCGTATTGTTCACATCAGTTAATCTTGTCTCCTCTTCCTAAAGATGGGGACCACTTGCCTTTAGTCCACCCAACACAGTTCCTAATTAGCACACTGCTCTCATGGCAATCAGAAACACTTACTGATTAGTTTTAAGGTCATATGACCTATTGTTCCAACACAACACACTGTTAAAAAAAACTACACAAAGTTGACTGAACATATACATATATAGCACTCATGTGTATATATCAAATAAAAAAAATCCTATCCTAAAATAGCTATAAAACTAAAACAATAAAATCAAGACATAAGAGTCCAAGGGGTCTAATTATTACTCTATCAAAGACAGTTCAGGAACTGTTGGAGAAGAAATTCAAGATTATTTCAGTATGGATAAACAATACTACTAATCCTGGACTAATCAGCATTAATATGAATCTCTGCCTTAATAGCTGACTTACCCGAAGGTTGAGCTTATGCCGGAGATCTATTAGCTGCTGTGGGGTGAGGTTGGTTATCTCTTCATGTTCATTGTAAAAATTTTTCTCAAATGGTGGATAGTCAATCTGCAGGTCCAATTATTCAAAGTTAGTCTAGAATTCAAGATTCAATCCTGTAAGTTTGATTTTAACGCAAAATCACCTTTCACAAATACTATACAAGTAAAGCCATAACCAGCTAGAAAGAAAAAAGGAATTCACTTATTCATGACACAAATCCTGAAAGTACAACCAGAACTTTTTCCCATTCCTGTTTGAACAGCCTTGGTGCAGACCAAGGAATCTCTAATGCCAAAGGACTCAGATATTCTACCCTGTAACATTTAAATATGCTTTGCAGTAAGCTGTTCACCTAGATCTAGGCCTCTGATAATATTTCTAAGGAGTTCCATTCTTTTTAAAAACATGGAAATGTTTATGTTAACTTTAAAAAAAATGTACTGTTGAGCATTTCCAATTCCAAAGAGGGAAGAAGTCATTTCTGCTACTCCTCTCATAGCTTACTGTACTAAGAATACAAAGCACTAGCATATTACCACATACGAATCTGGCTAAATGATTCTCTTTCTGACATGTTATGTCTACAATAAATCTATTTATTTTTTAAGGAGAACTTAAGCCTTTGATAGGTGGTCAAAAAGTTCATAATTCTAGATACAGCTTAAAATTAATTATCGTTCTATGGTACTATCAACAAAGAGAAAGAACCAAGTTCTCCTTTAGCATTATTAACAGGACCTTTTATTATGCTCCCCACAATGCTGCACCAAGCCCTTTTCTTCAGTTCTCTTATCAAAACAGAAGCTCCATGAGGGTAACAGTTTTTGTCTTTATTCACAAAAATCTACAAATGTCTAAGTTTTTTTACACACACACTTTTTTTTTGGTTTCCAAACAAGAGGAAAAAACAAAAGGACTGTGAAGAAAGGGTATTCTTTCTTCATTTCTGGTCTCTCCTGGCAGACTTCTCATTACATTAGGACAACTATGGGATACACTCCAGGCAGGATGAAGCTTGAGTACTCTGTCAAGTATCTCAAATATTTTATTAGACAACTATTTCAAATACTTCTGTTTTTTCCCTTATTATATTTCACTCTTTATCACAGATGTAGCCTCCTAGATAGGTTTCATTTATGTAGCTTCATTTGCCACATGTAAAATGCCAATTCCTTAAGTGGTAACAGCTGCACAAAAGGAAATTTTAAAAAACTGAATATAACCCACACTCTAGTCTAGACCAGTAGCTCTCAAACTTTTTGGTCTCAGGTACCCTTTACACTTAACAAAAATACAATGAGATTTCATTTTAAAAATGGTTATATCTAGTGTCATTTACTGTATTAAAAATAAGAAAAATTTTAAATTTATAATTCATGCTAAAATAACAAACCCCATGACACTTAAACATATACGCTTTAATAAAGACGAATTCTGACTTCCCTGCTGGCTCAGACAGTAAAGCATCTGCCTACAATGCGGGAGACCCAGGTTCAATCCCTGGGTTGGGAAGACCTCCTGGAGAAGGAAATGGCAACCCACTCCAGTATTCTTGCCTGGAAAATCCCAAGGATGGAGGAGCCTGATAGGCTACAGTCCATGGGGTCACAGAGTCAGACACGACTGAGTGACTTTACTTTTCAAAGATAACTTTATTTTATAATGCTGCTTCACATTTTTCCAAATCTTATATTTCCTATTGCATTCAAATTGCTGCAATGTGTTGTTCTGATTAAAGCCAAGGAAGAAAACCTGGCCTCCCAAAGATAGGTAGTTGGAAAAGGGAAGAGAGTATTTATTAATAACCTTTTCAGATGCTTGTGGACTTTTACTCTTTTTACACTACATTCAACCTTGACAGGTGCACATTTCTTAAAGGTTATTTTCATTGTGTAATCCAAAACCATATAGACGAACTTTCACATTTTGTCACACTATAATTCATGGGTCTATCCTGCACTTTGAATGGGCCCTTTACTCATGCACGATTCTGTAACATCATGCACTGGCTCTCTGAAAATACTGGTTCACTGAGATGGCTTGAAGATCATCCAAAACATTTCACTGTGTAACTAAAAAAATACACATTTCATGGCTGATTATCAACAGATAGAAAGCTGTTACCTATAGCCACCACCCTGAAAGCACCCAATTTCGTCTGATCTCAGAAGCTCAGCAGGGCCGGGCCTGGTCAGTACTTGGACGGGAGGAAGCTGTCAAGCTCACTGTGACGAATTCAGTTTCCCAAATCCTAATTTCTGCCTGAAAACTTGAGTTTCTTGAGTTTCTATCACTGACAAGACACTCCTGTTTTCCTTGATGTATCATTCACTTTCTCAAGTGAAAATGGTATTCTATGAAAAAAAGCAGCTAGCTCAGTTCACAACTTGAACACCTAAGTGTCTGTCTGTGAGACAACTGTCATATCTTGGCATGCAATACAAATGTTTACCTGCCCTTTCCCATTTTGTTACATGGATTATAAGAGTAATGTAAGAGTCAAGATTAAAGAAATAATCGTTATTGTTTCATCAAGGATATTCTTAAGTGAAGCTGGCTTTTACTTTTGGTACTGTAACAGTCACACAGGGAAGAATGCAGTGACTACTGGAACAACTGATACCACTGTCCCGTTTCAGGCTAATGTGTCAGCATTGCTTTTAGTCATCACTGCAAATGCTGACGCAGTGAAGAGGACAAATAATCTTAGCATTACCATAAAAATTCTTTTGACTTTGTAGACTCCATGAAACGATCCTTCTAGGTGTCCTTGGACCACACTTTGAAAACCACTGCTCTAGATCTAGAATCACTAGGGTATGCAAGCTCTAGTCTGATATTTAACCTGGATGAAATACTGATTTTTTTCCCCCAAGTGAGTACACTGATATCCTCATTTCCTTTTCCTGATGTAAGAACAGCCTTTCATCTGCCCCAGATCTGGGAGAAATAGTAAAGATTTATAGCAATTAAAAAGCAAATGCAGGCCCAGGGACGCACAGTGAAAGGAAGATGGTAAGTGATGGTATGGAAAACAAGCACAATTGCTTGAAAAAAATCCTTCACCTAAAACTGAATGTGAGCAAGAGACTCAGCTGTACCTTGAATAGTATAGGCTACAAAGTCTCAACCAGTCAGTCACCTTCTGATTCAATCACTTGGCAAATATGACAAAATCCCAAAGAAATATTCCCATGACATAATAAAGCGCACGAATCAGAGTAGTATTCTGATACTGGGAAAACCTAAATATTAAAGCTGAAGAAAACCACATCGGCTTCAAAGAAGAGTCAAATTCAGCAAGAAATACCGTACCTCTGAATGATCAATGGGAGGAAGAGGATCGATGATTTTTTTGGAAGGTGCAATTGGATTCCCATCACTATCATATTCCAAATTATCTTCCTCCTCCTCTTGAACCACACCAGCAGTTGGATTCTCTGCCATGTACCGAAAATAAGCTTCCTGCAGGAAAGCACAAGATCATAATCATACCCAAGTATAACAGAACATTTTTGCTTCTGTAATTAGTGTGCACAGCATACCAGATGACTGCACAATTTACATACCTACCCAGTAAGACAAGACTCTTACTAGCAATGATTCCTTTAACAACAGCAGCATTCAGAGGGACAACCAGAGGAAATGAGACAGTTACTATCATAAAGTGATTTAGCTTGCTTAACAGAAGACTTATAAAACTGTCAGTTCCACAGCCTTCCTGGGGTGGGGTGTCGCCTACCTACCCTGCTGAGAGCTGTGGAACACACGCTGTGGCTTTACCAGTCCAAGTCTGGAAGCTGACACTGATGAGAAGGGTCACCAGCCTAGCAAGGGCTCACTCTGGGTCCCTTCTCTCCATCCCACAACTGAATGGGGAAAAAGACACTAACGGACTGTCATTTAACAAATGTTTCATCTTGAAACACAGAATCACAAACAGAACCCGTAGAAACAGGTCAAAGTTAGGTGTTACTAGAGGTTGTCTGTAGATCCCACACTATTCTACTTCTTGATTTATCAGAATAAACATTAATTTTGGATTAAAAAAAAATCACGCCGAGTAAAGCTCATCTTTGTTTTTGATAGCGTACTTGACCAAAATTTCCATCTTCAACACAGGGGAAAGCCACATGAATCTTTATATTACCAACTGGTCACACAGGTAGAAAAGGAGCAAATCAAATGACATTCCCTGCTGAACATCAGGAATGGCCATTTCAGTGAAGACAAGTTCTAGCTTGTCCCCAGGACAGACTTTGTGGGGTGAAAGTAAAAGATAGAAATACTGCATAGGAACTCACTTGGTCATCTTCCTCTTCAATGTCATCTCGAATACCCCTGGAAAAACAAGCGGAGAAACAAACTTCCCTGCAAATGTTCCACATACCCAGCTCCATACTTATAGCACATTAGTGTTGAATTCCATACAGGACAGGAACTCTCAACACTAACAATAACAAAGCAGCAGTAAGCACGCTGGAAGCCATCCATCCACCATGTATGTCTGATTTCACACCATAAGCTGCAGTTTGCATTTCTTTTGAATGGGACGATGTGGTACCCCCAGAAACATCAAATATATCAATACTAACAAGAATATAGGGAGTAAAAACTTGCGAAGAGAGATACCCACGGGCCCTAGCCTTGTATATCCCACACAACAAACACAATGCAGTTGTTAAAAGGACTTTGTATTAAAAAACAGAAACAAGAAGAACACCTGTATTTTGTATACACTAAAGATGGTCACAACTGTCTTACTGTGCCCCAGAGTTTTTAGCTCTGAGTAACTGAATTCAGCCAAAATCCTCAGGGACAGAGAGGAAAACTACATCAACTCTTTTTAAAATCTGGAACTAAAACAGTTCATGTGGAGAAGTGGACCTTCACCACTTGCATTGCTCTCAGAAACTATGAAAAGTATAGTTGCTGAATTCCCACAACCACTGTTTTTTAATCAGACTTTCTGCCTACCCTAGAGCACTTGCTACTCCTAAGGCAAGCAACACCACCAGTGGAGGGCAGCTGGAAGGGGACACGACACACGATAAGCCCCCAAGAGAGGGCAGACCCTCCCCCTGGCACAGGCACCTCAGGAAGGAGCTGAGCACTGACTGCCAAGCAGAGGGAAAAGTCCAACCCGCCTTCCTGGGCTTGGTAGCAAAAGCCGTAAGAAAAGTAGATTCAGCAAGGGAAAGAGGAGAATTCTCTTTCCTAGAAAACAAAGTATTTCAAGCTCTGACTAGTTGCTAAAGCATGTCACCCTCAAATCAGGTTTTATGAATAATTATTGTTACATCTTAAAAATCAATCACATACGCATAAACCTATTTTATATTAGTTATGGGGATAAAACTCGGAAAAATGAACCCAAACTACTAATGATGCTCTCTTGCTTCCCTGTGTAATTTACTCTTGTGGTTTACTAAAAACTATTTACAGTTGAATACCAAAAAGAATGCTTTTCAATTACTGCAAATGCAGTCATCTCTATTACCTACAGGAATATTATTTAAGGTAATAACTTTAAGTTAGGACATTTGTGTAGTTGCATTTTACTTTATAAACTCTGGGGGAACAGGCTTTGCAATAATGTAGCAATTTTCATGTAACCTTTCTGAAGGAGAAGAAAACAACTTACTTTACGTTTTTTCTTTCCTTGTCCTTTTCTTCAAGCCTCTTCATGTCTCTAGCCGCCTGATCCTAATGAAACAAAAGGCAGTATGGAATCACCAACTAAAAACACTGAAAGGAAAATTTCTTTATAAAGAATTTTTAGATTCAAACAAGCACCATCACAGTTTTAGCTATGCATTTTGACAACTGCAATTGCATTTTGATGCAATCAAATTGTTTTTTGACAATTATTTTTTTAGAGAGAAATACCCATGTTCTAAAAACCTGACTATATATGCAGATTCCATAGTTTTTATCTGCAAATATACTATGTGTGGAAAAACTAGCAAAAATGCTTGATCACTTTTTTTTTAAAAGAGTTAATGATATAATTACCAAAGGGGCTAGTAAAAAATGCAGATCTCTGTATCTGGCTCTAGAAAGGTGGTTCTGAGCCTTGGGTGATTCTATCCCCTGTGGACATCTGGCAATATCAGGAGACATTTTTTGGTTGGCACCACTTGGGGTGGAGGGAGCTGTTACTAACATCCAGTGGGTGAAGGTCATAGATGCCTCTAAACATCCTACAATGCACAGGACAGCCCACCAAAGAATTATCCAGCCCTAAATGCCCTTAGGTTGAAAAACCTTGCACTAAATAAACTGCAGCCATGAAATTAAAAGACGCTTGCTCCCTGGAAGGAAAACTATGACCATATTAAAAAGCAGAGACATCATCTTGCCAACAAAGGTCCATATAGTCAAGCCTATGGCTTTTCCCATAGTCACATACAGATGTGAGAGCCGGACCATGAAGAAGGCTGAGCACCCAAGAGCTGGTGTTCTGAACTGTGGTGCTGGGGAAGACTCTCAAGAGTCCCTTGGACTGCAAGACCACCAATCAATCCTGCTGGAAATCAACCCTGAATAATCATTGGAAGGACTGATGCTGAACCTCCAATACTTTGGCCACCGGATGGGAAAAGCCGACTCACTGGAAAAGACCCTGATGCTGGGAAAAGCTGAGGACAGGAGAAAGGGGCAACGAGGATGAGATGGTTGGACAGACAGCACCACTGACAATGGACATGAGTTTGAACAAACTCCAAGAGACAGTGAAGGACGGGGAGCCTGGCATGCTATAGTCCAGGGGTTGCAAAGTCAGACATGACTTAGTGACGGAAAAACAACAAATAAATCTACTAAATCAGAACCCTTTGGGGTGGACTTAAATACATGTTGTTTTTCCATTTTTCATAGGTTATTTTTAAATGGCAAATTGATAATTATTGATCTAAATTCTTTGCTTTATACACAGGAAAATCAAGGGTAGAAGAATTAACTACTTTTTGCCAAGGTTAAAACACATTCTGCATAACCGTTTCTTGTTGTAAAGCAATGTGAGTTTTTCTGACTTCTTTAATTTGGATTAATGCAATACCTTGGCAACAATACTCTCCCCAAGATCAGATAATATCCATCTCTCTGTCTGAAAATCAGCAAAACGCCTTTGGATACTACAGCAAAAAATATCTGGAAGAATGATGTTATATCAAAAAGATTTAACCTCCAAACAGCTTCAACTATTTGAAATTCCAAGCAAGAGAATTTGGAACATTCTTGGATACTCCTACTCAAAAAGGGCTATTCCAGCTTGCACTACCAAAAATTAAATCTAAATTTAAACCTCAAAAATCAAGAGTTGATTTTTATTCTAATTCATCACTAGGGATCTGAAAAAATAATGAGAAACACAGCCCTTTGGGAAACGTTCATGTGTCACGAAGATTAAAAAAAACCTAAACCAATATGTATATGATATCTCAAACAAAACAAACCATTTATCCATTGCCTCTACTTCTAGACAGAATCATTTAACACACTGTATTTACAAAATTGCTACCATCTTGCAAAGCACAGGTATGTTCTGAGTAGTTCTGGTAAGCATTACGCAGAAATACACAACACAAGAACTCAGATGCTGAATGATATAGCAAAAAGAACATGGGCTTTGGAGTTTACATGGGCTTTGGAATTGAATCCTGGCTCTGCTACTTTTTAGGTACACATTCTTCGGAAAGTAATTTATTCTAAATCAAATGTGGGAAACCCAAAATACTCAACGGTTAGCAATTTCACAATGAATGAAGTGAGCTAAGATAAGGAAAGTTCTATTCTTCTGACACAGACATGCTTTGCTTGCATTTTAGTAAGTTGTTTTTGTTTAGCTGCTAAGTTGTGTCCAACTCTTTGGTGACCCCATGGACTGTAGCCCTCCAGGCTTCTCTGTCCACGGGATTTCCCAGGCCAGAATACTGGAGTGGGTTGCTATTTCCCTCTCCAGCGGATCTGCCTGACCCAGGAATCAAACCCACATCTCCTGCTTGGCAGATAGATGCTCTACTACTGAGTCACCAGAGGAAGCCCTGAATATTCTAAAGAAGCATGCTCTAATTTTTCTTTTAATACATAGCCCTGAGTTTTACTCTCAGATATTTGACAACAGACCCACGATCAGGAAAACTACTTCTCCACTATAAGACAATTACAACACAAATATGATGGTAAAAGGCTCTAAACAATGGCCTCAGTGTCAAGAAGACAATAGGGACTGATGGGTGAAGTAGAAAAAGTCTGCCTTGCCCAAAGCAGGCAGTTACTTTTCAGCAACAGCCTGTTTTTTGCCACACAAGAATGCAGTCCTAGTCTTGCCACATTTTTCACTTTTCCGGAGACTGATCTTTTAGATAAAAATCTCTGGATTTTTTTTTTTTAATATCTGGATCTTAAAAATTTTGGCTATTTTTAAAAAGCATCGTTTACACCAAACAAAAACACATCTTTAATGGATTCTTTTTCTCCCCTACTTCCTTAGAGGAGATGAATTCTGGCTGAAGACTTCAGGTAACAAGTAACTGAGGAATCTAAAAGGACCTTACTTCATAAACAATAAAGTGACAGTTTCTGAGCAAGAGGAGTAATATGGCAAGAAACATGCTTCAGTCCAATTACTCTGTAGCTGTATACTACATGAACAGGAGAGCAGAGAGCCTAAAGAAGGGAAGCCTAATTTAGATCAGGTAAGAGTTAAGGTACAGGGGAAGATGACCAGAAAGGAAATAGAAATAGGTGCAAGAGATACTGTAAAGACTGAAATAACTTGGCAAATGATGAGAGGAAGGCAGCACTATGTTCTGGACAAGAGCCAGTTCTCAGGACTACTAAGCAAGAAAAATTAGATTTGCATCCCAGCTCTGCCACACAGTACCAATGTGGTTTGGAGAAGTGATTTGAATTATCTTAGGGTTCAGTTTTTTTATTAGTTAACAAGTTTTATATAGTTTTTCTGCCTATTCACCTTTGTTATTCTAAGGAATAAATGAAGCAAGTCATGAACATGCTTGATCAGTTACTAGACAAAAAAAAAAAGGGGGAATTCCCCAGCAGTCCAGTAGTTAAGACCCCGCCTTCCAATACAGGCAGCACAGGTTCCATCCCTGGTCAGGGAACTAAGATCCCACATACCACACAGCAAAAAAGAAAATGAGAGAGAGAAAAAACCCAAATAAGAAATGAAGGAGAAAAAAAATCACAACTGATAACAACAACAAAAAAGCTGTAAGAGAATACTATGAACAATTAGACACCAACAAACTCAACAACCGAGAAGAAATGGACAACTTTCTAGGAACATACAGCCCACCAAAACTGAATGAAGAAACACATAACCTGAACAGACCAAACACTAGAAATTAAATAGAATCTATAATTAAAAAACTCCCTACAAACAGAAGTCCAGGACCAGGTAGCTTCACTGGGGAATTCTACCAAATGTACAAAGAACTTACACTGATCTTTCCCAAACTCTTCCAAAAGACTGAAGAGGAAGGAACACTCCCAAAGAAGTGTTGGGAGTGAAGCCACCATCTATGAAGCCACTATCACCCTGAAACCAAAACCAGACAAAGACACTACCAAAAAATAAAAGTATAGGCCAGTATCTTTGACGAGTATATGTGCTGTGTGCTATGCTCAGTCGCGTCTGACTCTTTACGGCCCCATGGTCTGTAGCCCATCAGACTCCTCTGTACATGGAATTTTTCAGTCAATTACTGAGTCACTTTTTGCTGTACAGAAGAAATTAACACAACACTGTAAATCAACTACACCTTAATAAAATTGGGGGGGAAAAAAAAAGAGGGGCTATTTAAAGGAAGAAATTCAAGCCAATGTGGGAATTTTCTTGCAGTCCCGTGGTTATGACTCTATGTTTTCACTGTGGAGAACCAGGGCTCAATCCCAGGTTAAGAAACTAAAATTCCATAAGCTGTTTATCGGGGCAAAAAAAAAAGTTAAAGGGACCAGGGGGACACACCCATGTAAAAATGGCCAATATGTTTCTAGAAAAGCAAAGCTGAAACTAAAGAGAGGCTATGGAACTAAAGATATTAATTTATTCACACAGAAGTTAATTTTGGAAGTGGGTGAGGTCACTAAGGAATGTATAAAGCCTGAAGACAGCACATTAATACAGAGAACTGTAGGAGAAGCATCATATGAGAAACTGGAAGAGAATCACAAGAATGACAGGTACAGTCACATGGCTAGGTAAAGGTTTTTTTTTTTTGGTGTAATCATATGGTATGATTGCTTTTTAAGAGTTAAAGACATAGAAATACCAATAGATGAAATGATATGTCAGAGATTTACTTTAAATAATATAAAAGGGGGTGGGAGGTGTCAGATAACAAAAGACTGGCCAAAGTGTTACTTGATAAAGCAGGGTGAAGGGTACATGGGAACTCATCTTATTATTCTACTTTATGTGTTTGAGATTTTTCATAATACAAAGTAATTAAATAGAAAAGTCAGAGACATGGGAGAAAAGAACAAAATACAAAATCACAAAAAACCTAGTGAGAAGAGTTTTAAGGAGGAAGAGGTCACAAGTCTCAATTTCTACAGCAAGGTCACGAACATGGATAAAAAGAAACACTAAAAGTATTGAATACAGAATCTGTAATTTTAGCAAATCCCTTAAGTTTAATTATCTTACATATATATGTATTCAATAAAAGCTAGATTAAAATAATATTCATTCCATTTAAGACTATACCAAGAATTATTAAAATAAAACATACCACACACACACACTTGAGCCACTATGTTCAAGGCTTACAGTTCAAATTCCTAGGCACCAATCATCTCTGAAAATGCTTACAGGGCCATGGAAGTATATTTAAGAAACTATGGAATACAAGAGCAAAATTCTCTCAACAAAGGGCCAATAACAAATTCTGTCTGAGAACTAAAGCACTAGGTTAATTTGACCTGTTTCTAATGGCTAAAAATGTTAACATAACAGAGTTGATACTTGCCTCCACTTCAGCCATGAATGCCTCTAAGGGATCATCATCACTGTCAGAGTCTACTGGCTTGGAATGGAATTGCTGGCGGGTAGGTGAGTTCTCAGCAGGAATGTACGGTAAATCAACGTTGCTAGAATCTTCTTCCTCATCTTCAAAATATCTGAAAATTAAGATGCATGATTGATAGAGTGAATGTTTAATTTGGGGGTGGGTGAATCTTTCATTTAACAAAATTTTTATTATGGTATATGTTACCATTAAGAGATTTTGGTCCTTTGGCTTAGGACCTAATTATTAAGTATCACTTGATATATGCCAAATTCTAATACTGCAAAAAAACCACAGCAGATTCTCCATTTCAGTAGTGTCTGTTAAAAATTACATTTCCAGTTCTGTCTAAAGGGATCCAATACAAAATTATCAACAGCATATCACTGTTGAATAGATACAGCAAATATTAAAGCATATGATATGGAAAAAATACTTTTGTATGAAATATCAAAAGCCTAGTTTATTCTTCATGACCCTTTAAAACTTTTAGAGATTAAATTCATAAGGCTAAAGACTTTCTTAAAAAGTTCTGGGCTTTTTCCTGAGAACCAAGAAAAAAAACTTCTAGAATTGAAAATAAATGCTCAGGAATATAGCCAATATTTTATAACCTTTAAAAACTGTGAATCACTCTGTTGTACACTTAAAACAACTTCGACATCTGGAAAATGTTTCCCTCTAACAGATATCCCAGAAAAGAATACAGATATAGCTATACACTAAAACAAAACAAAAACACTGGTTAGAGCTTACCTCAGAATTAAATGAAAGAGTAATACAATAGAATATTAAAGAGATCAAAACTAGAGCCTAAACTTCAAAGCATTTCAAGTCTTCATTTAAAAGCTGTAACCATTACGTGTTATATACACACACACACACACACACACAAATGCATATTTATTTATACGGTAGTTTCATTTAATGTATCCCTGAGCTGGTAAACTGCTCTCTAGGATGATGATCCTGGACTTACTTATGAACTTAATTGCTAAATAATATACCAATTTTTAAAAATGCTGCTAAATACTTTAAAAACTGTGATCTTGAGGGTTAAAAAAAAAAAAAAGCTCAACAGTGTAACAACCAGGCTAGAAATAATAGCAGTACAAATTTCTTTAGACCTGACAAAAAAAAAAAAAAAGAACTTAAAATCTGTATAGAATTAGAGGTCAAACTTTCAAACCTCAGCTTTTCAACAATCCCCTTATTAGACAATCAAGTTAGAAAAGGTAACTGGTAAATATGGTTCCTGAGAACTGTGAGCAAAAATCTGAGATTTTCCTACCACTATAAGATGTTACAACACAACAGTTTAACAGTTTTAGAGACTCTGGTGTTGAGTCAAACTATGTCTCTACCAGTTCTGACAACTGCCTGTGTTTACCAAACAACTTCTATGCTGTAAATAAAAAACTTCAGTAAAGACCATCAAAAGCCATGTAAATTAAATAATTTAATTTTAAATAAAACACTTTAGTCATATTTAGGTTTCAATGGCCCCAAATCCGTTTTGAAACCAAGGAAAAAGAAAGGACCACACAAGTATTATAATCCTTATGAATGAGTGAACGTAACAATTTAACCTGTTAGGAACAATGCAATTCAGTGAGATAACCAACTTAAGAAGTCATGTTATTATTTGAGAAACAAATGGTTTCTTTGCTTCAGTTTTTTTGATGGAATGAATATCTCAAAACCTAACCTTGCTAAATTACCAGATATTATTACCACTTACGCATTTTCTTCATCGAAGTTGGCCCGTTTAGAACCAATTTTGTAGAAAGAAGGGAGCTGTGGTGGAGCCGATTTTCCAAAGCCAGAAGAAGAGCTGGTTGCCCCAAAGGCACTATGGGACTGCTGTGGGAGCTTCGGTTCCTCCTTCTTTCCAGCACTGATGGCAAAACCTCCAAAGCCAAAGCCCCTCTTAGTGCCGGGGCCACCCTTATTCCAGTTCATGGTGTCAGTGACTGATCTGTTAGGAACAAGACACACATACAAATTTAACTTTATATGAAGTGAACAGCCCACTGATGTTTGTGTCTCTTCCAACCTTTACCTACAATTTTAAACATTTGCCTCTCAATTAAGATTTTAATTTTGGTACAAAAAAGTTTGGCACAACACTGTAAATCACTTATATTTCAATTAAAAATTTTTTAACTTCGGACTTCAGATATGCAATATGCTAACCTTAATAAAACAGTCACATTTTCTTTTTTTTTGATACACATTTTTTAATTGGGGGAAAATTGCTTTACAATTTTGTGTAAAATTGTACACAAAATTGCTGGTTTCTGCTGTACAACAGGAATCAATCATAATTTTACACACATGGACACGCGCACACACACACACCCCTCCCTCTTGAGCCCCCTTCTCTCCAGGAATCAGTTAAAATTTTACACACATATACACCCCCCTCCCTCTTGAGCCCCTTTCTCTCCGGGAATCAGTTATAATTTTACACACACACACATACCCCTTCATCTTGAGCCCCTTTCTCTCCGGGAATCAGTTATAATTTTACACACATATACACCCCCCTCCCTCTTGAGCCCCTTTCTCTCCGGGAATCAGTTAAAATTTTACACACACACACACACACACACCCCTCCATCTGAGCCCCTTTCTCTCCCCCTGAATCATGTCACATTTTCTGAAACATGGAAGACATCATAATTCATTTTACTGAGACCTCAATCAGAACAGGAATTTAGTATTTAATATCATACCCTTCAAAAAGATTTGACTGCCAGTTGAATATCTTATTCAGTTAGCCTACTGTTAAAGATTACAAAGAAATTTCCTGAGCATCAATCAAACTCATTTAAAAATAAACTTTTTATCTTAGTAGCCTTGGTTTCAAAAAACCATTTTTTAATGACACAAGTTACTGAAGTTTCACATAATAGCAGAAAACTCAGAAAGCAAAAAAGAACAAAATTTAACACTACCTGACACGCCTCTCCCAAATACACAATTTTGTTGATATATTTTGCTATTTTTTCTATGCATATGTGTGTACACACACACACAGATTTAAGATCAAAACTGAAACCATACTGTACATATTGTTTTCCTGATTTCTGCACCTTATGATACACATGACTGTCTATGTCAATAAATACATTTCTCTACTTCTGTTTCTGTTGTTTTTTTTTTAAGTTGCTAAACATATCACATATCTTTGTCCATACTCTTAATTATTTCCTTATGCTCAATTTTTTTTAAAACACAACAGCTTATCAAAGGGGAATGTGCATTTTAAGTTGCACATTTGTGAACAAGTGTCCATTATACACTGAGTAACATGATAAGGGCATAAAACAGGTAGGCGGTATGATTCAATGTAAAAATATGTGTCACCTGTACCAAGATAGCTGGAGGGCTGTTTATCAAAATGTTAATACCAATTATTTGATTTTTACTTTTTTCCTCTGTATTAAAGTTTACCATTAATAAGAAAAGCTTATATGCTTATAAAAGACTCTGAAGTCAATGTGAAAAGAGTTCCAAAAACTGCTTTTTACAATGGCACTGCTGAAGTGACTAGGAACAGGAAAAAACGCTCTGCTCTCTGGTGCTATACCCCGCTCACCAGTTCTGTTTTACTGCTGGTACACAGTACTTAGTTCAGTCTGTTTAGTATTAAATTTGGTTTATGCTTTGTCAATCTCTACCCTTAGTTCCAGTTAGGGGCTGTCTTTACTCATTTTGGACCTTTCGTAGAAAATATTCACGGTTAGGGTAAGCACTTTATAAGTAATAGCTTACTCAAACATAAGAAAGACCATTTCCTGCCTTCTTCTGGAATCCCCTAAGAGGAATCAACATAATTCTTGTGAGATGATATTTAGTTAGAAGATTTACAAGCCAGAAAATTTTAGCATCTGAGAGTACTGTTTAACCAATCTGTGAGCCTGGCTTTCCAAGAGCTGTTCCTAAGCAACAAAAATTACAGATTCTGAATTTTAACCTTTTTCCTAGTGTATATATATATAATGCATAATAAGAGGCTAATAATAATTAAGCCATTAAATTATGGATTCTGAATTTTATCCTTTTTCCTTGTGTATATAATGCATAATAAAAGGCTAATAATAAATAAGCCATTGAAAAACATATGTAAAGGAAGGCTGGAAAAAACAAATGTTGGTAGATTTTAAGAATTACATCAACAATCTCATGGCTTATTGAAAGCCTGTTGTGAAAGTTCAGGCATTGTATTGGGTGCTGGGCATTTACCAGTGAAAGATACAGTCTGATTCTCAAGGATTTCAGTGTAGTTTTAGAAAGCTTACAAAAAGAAATGATGTGTAGCGGTATTATACAAAGTGCATTCATCGACAGCCCAGGAGAAGAGTACCCAACCTACCATGAATGGGGGACAAGACAGTTTTTCTGGAGGTGACAGTGGTGTTAATTTTTTAAATCCGAAGAGGCATTAGACCAGGGAAGAAGTGTCAGAGAGAGAATTTTAGATCAAGGCACTGTAAATGCTACCACAGAGGACTGGAAATATTTCATTGCAGCTAGAGTTCTCTAGGACATTTGGGAAAGTTGCAGGGCACATGTTCAGAAAGACAAACAGGGCCCAGATATAGGGTTGGTATACTATGCTAAGAATACACCATACAAAAATATACTCTGCCAGTTGTAAGGAATCATTAATTTTAAGCAAAAAAGGGGACATGCTTTGGATCACCATTTTAGAGATCAGATGAGAGATGGCACGAAAAGCTGGACACAAGGAAAGTGGTTAGGACGTTATTATAAAAAATATAGATAAACCACATCAAGGTACTACAAAACTAAGGAAGTGGCTATGAGGAAGGGTGGGGTGTAGACCTGATGCTTTACTGAGGTATTTATGAGGAAGAATCAACTGGGGAGAATGACCAACTCAAGACGTGGAAGCTGAGGCGGAAGGAAGAGTCTAGAATAATTTTGGAGGGTTCTGGCTTTTACGGATTGGGTGAATGATGGTGCCACTAACACAGATGGAAACCCAGAGGGTGGAGAAGCAGGTAGAAAGTGAGATCAGTTCACAGTACCTATGGGAGCACTCAGGATAGCTGGCAAGTAAGGTCTGTGACTGCAGAGAGAGGTCTGTGAAGGAGTTCTAGGTCCCACACAAGCTTCCGTATTTGAGGTTACTGATGTAGATAAGCCAGCAGACAGAGGGCACAGAGCGAGAAGAGAGATGTTAGCGGAGGTCCACGCTTAGGAAGGATCGGGGAAGAGGCGCTCACGTGAAAACTTGACAAAGAAGAGAGAGAAAGGGAGGACAGCAGACAACAGTGAATAGATGGAGAGAAACTTTCCAGGCAGAAAGAAACGTCCAATGTTAGTAACAAAAGAGGAGGGGGCGTAGGAACTGAAAAGCCCCTGTTGAAGCAGTAGGGAAAAAGTTAAGTGATGATCGGTAAGGGGTAGAGGCTGAAGATAAGGCCAAGAGGAGTACAGATTACTTTCTAGGCCATTTACCAATGTGAAAGAGTGTGAAGTGTTAACTAGAGGAGTTTTGCTTTTTGTTTAAGGAAGACATCTAACCATATTTATATGTTAAAAAGGAAAGGCCAACACAAATAGAAAAACTGAAGATTTAGGATGACAGGAAAAATCACAGGAACAGGTGTTGCCGAGAGCTGAAGAGAAAAGACCAAAACCTTTAACAAGGAGTAAATAACACTTCCCCCTAGGCTGAGGACAGGAGAAAAGGATGGGCATAAATTAATCCTACTAAATAACCAAAGGGCTCAAATTACAAGAGAAATAAATCAAATACTTGGTTTTAAAAATTCAACTTCTGCAGACAGGCAAGCAGCGTGACCTTGGGCAGGTGAGAGTTGCTTAATAGCTTAAAAATATGCAACACTTTAACTCTTCCAAGATGTGGGTCAACCAAAAGACAAAGAACCCTTAAGTGCCCCCACACCTTTCACTAGTGTGACTGAGGTCATACTGCCCATGTTCCTCAATTAACTGTCTCCAGCAATGAGGAACAATTGTGCTTTCTCCAACGCATGACTGGAGTGTCAGCGCCACGTGGGTGAGGGCTTTTCTTGTTTTGTCCAACATAGTATCTTTGGTGCCTGGTCTATACCGTACTCAAAAATTTTTCGTTGAATAGATAAATATCAGGCTCTTCAAAATTCATCCCAGTATCTGTGAAATCCATCATCTCCTATTACTATGAGCCTTGCTATCGAGCCAGCCAGCTGTCCTGATGAAATCTCAGCCAGGTCATCCTCAGACACCACTGATTTTGACTTTCTTGAACAGGTTTCCTACTTTTAGTCCACATGTACAGCTACAGCCCTTAACAATCAGAAGTCTGAGGGACTGCGGCAGACAGAAGCAGCACAAGCTGGCCAACCTAATCTCTATTTGGTTTTATCATTTTTTTTTTAATGAGCCCTCCTCTGCTTAGGTTATAAGTCTATGAAAAGTAATTTGCATTCTCTAGGCAAACACTGGAGAAGAGAAATCTACTCAATAGTTAATAAGGAAGTCAAAACATAGTGAGGATATTAAAAAATTAATGTAGTCCACCATTCATGGGTCTTCTCAAAGCTCCCTTTATAGTGGCTTCTTAAAAAACTAACCATAGAACTACATGATACAGCATTTCCTGTATATGCATGATATAGCATTACTGTATATATACAGTATATACCCAAGAGAACTGAAAACAGGGACAGACATTTGTTACACCCATGTTCCAAGTAGCATTATTCACAAGACAAAAGGTGGAAGCAACCCAAGTGTCTACAGATGGATGAATAAACTAAATGTGGCAAGATAAATATATAGCAATAGTACTCAGTCTTAAAAAGGAAGAAAATTCTGACACATGCTACGACACGGATGAGACTGGAGGACATCAAGTTAAGGAAATAAGCTGGACTTCCCTGGTCGTACAGAGGATAAGAATCTACCCGCCAGTGCAGGGG